TTCTCTCCAGTGTGGATTCTCCGATGTTTTCCAAGGTGTGAACTTCTACTGAACATCTTCCCACACTCATTACACTTGTAAGGTTTCTCTCCAGTATGAATTCTAAGATGACTTGTAAGATAAGATTTTTTATTGAAGACTTTGCTACATATTTCACAAGTAAATTGTTTCTCTCCAGTACAGATTTTCTGATGTATAGTAGGGTGTGATTCTTGATTAAAGGATTTTTCAAGCTCATTACATTTGTACGGAGCTGTAGGAATGTTTGTTTCCGGTTCTTCTACAAATGATAAAGAATATATAAGATCATGTTCATATTTATGAGAAATGTTTGCTTTGACAATAAAAGGAATTCTTTGATGGGGTAGTAGGAAAGAAACATTGAAAGAGGTAAAATAAGCCAGACTCAAAAATTAAGGGTTAAACTGTTGCTCTCATATATAGAAACTAGTCAAAAATAAAGGAGAAAAGGCAGTTGAGGAAGTGACTGGATACAATAAAGATACAGAGAAGATCACGGGGGGAGGGGAGAATGGGAGGAAAAATGAAATGAATTTAACAAAATCATGTTACATTACTATATAAAGATACCAAAGGGGATGTCATCCTCATGTATACATAGAGAAAGTTTAGAGGAGGGAGAATAGGGATAAGGAGAAGAGGAGGAAAAGAAGAAAGTGGAGCTTGAAACCAAATTCCTTACATGTAAAGCCCAGGAAATGGACTTCACCTTAGCCCTGACCCCTCCCATTGCCAAAGCGCCCAAACTCTACTTAGTGGGCAGCTGCCTCTCTTCCCCTGTGAGCTCTTACCTGCTTTCACACACTCCACAAATGCCCAATCATTTGCAGGCCTGGATATTTCCTCTGGGCCATTCACACTCCAGGGCTCCCTCCCTTGCTCCAACCAGGAGAGGACACTCGGGTCTGAAGGACACATTCCTGCTTGTAAAGAGAAAAGAAGCTGATGCACTGTGGCTTCTCCACAATCCAGCCCTATGTGCACGTGAGGAAGAGGATATTACAGAGGGATACAGAAAATATTTCACTATATCATGTAGGTATCTAGCTCTCTTCCAAGAACCACTGAATCAAAAGCACAGAAACAGAAATATTTTAAGAGTGGGCTGTGGGCTTTATGTTGTGCTTCAGCTCTGGAAACACCACTGCAGTATCATGAAGGGGGCAGAACATCTGAAGAAAGGGAACAAAGTACAGCGGATATACTGTGGAGCGTCTTTCACAGGCAACAGGACTTCAATAAGTCAATGTAGAGAATCCCAAAGACAAAAGGGAAATGCTACGATATACAGGGCAGATCCCAGCATCAGGGGAAGTCAAGCTCACCCAGGGAGACCAGGTTCCTGTAGGTCTCCAGCATCACGTCCCTGTACAAAGCCCTCTGAGCAGAAACCAGGCACTTCCACTCCTCCTGGGAGAATTCTATGGCCACATCCCTGAATGTCAGTGGACCCTGAAATTAAAACAGGCTTCACAATGGGGCACTGGGGACAGTTACAATCTTCATCCAAAATGTAAACCACAGAACCCAGGCATGGTGGCACATGCTTGTATCCCAGCTATCCCCAGGCTGAGGTGGGAACATTGTAAATCGGAGGTGGGACTGGGAAACATAGCAAGATCCTCTCTGAGAATGAAGAACATAGGAGTAGGGATGTAATGGCAGAGGGGGTCTAGGTTCAACCCCATTACTGCAAAGAAGTAAACAAAGAGAAATGAGAAGGGAGGAGAAGTGTAAGCATGCAACTGATTCAAGTGAGAAGAGCTGCACTGTGAGGCTGTAAACACACATTTGGTATCTGTCTGTCTGCTGATGTGGAGCTCACCTGGAATCCATGGAGAGCTAAGAAAGAGTTGTGTGCTAGTGACACGACAGGTGCCAAAGCCCCCTAGAGAGCTTCACGACGAGGCTTCTCCCCACAAAGCCACAGGCAGGAGAGGCAGTTGTAACACAGTCCTGCCATCCACCTCCAGGGAAGAGAGAGGGACTAAAGTCCCAACTGATCACCATCACCCAGGATGTAATCAAGCCTGCCTACATAAAGGAGCCTCCATAAAATCTCAACAGGACGGGGTGAAAGGGTGTTCAGATCAACGCGTGGGTGGAGGGTCCTGGAGGGTGGCGCACCACGCAAAGTCATGTGAGCTCCACGTCCTTTGTCCCACACCTTGGCCTATGCACCTCTTCCATGTGCGTGTTCACCTGTCTCTTCTGAACAGGTGTTACCACAAGGCAAATGAAAGTAAAGTCCTTGACAGTTTTAGGAAGCAGTCTAACCACTTTTTGAATGTGAGGGGATGAAGGAAGCCCCATTTATAGAAAGTCATTCTGAATCATGGGCCATACTTTTGCAGGCCTCTGAAAAGGGGCCCATTTTGTGGGACAGAGACCTCAGCTGGTGGGATCCACCATGTATCTACACAGTGTCTGAATTAGGTGAAATGACAAGTGCCCTCTGAAGAACTGCATTCTTGGCATAAGGGCAAAAACCCTCACTTATTTGGGATCACAGAAGCTTTCTGTGTGCAGAGGGTATATAGGGAGAAACTGAGCTTGCTTTCCCCGTGTTTTCATATATTCTGGTATTTCTGAGAATGTTATACCTCCTAGTTGTGTTTTATTTTCATTTTCCTAAGACAAGATACTGCCTAAATCTGTACAGATTTCTCCCCTGCAGGAAACACAAGAAACATAGTACCAGCCACAGTGGTACACAGCTGTAATCCTGACCCAGGAGGAAGAGGCAAGAGAATTACAAGTTCAATATCACCTCAGCAATGAAGCAAGACTCTAACTATAAAAAAGAAAAAAACAAGACAACAAGGATTGAGGATATAACTCAATGGTAGAAGGGCCTGATTTCAATTTCTAAGAAAGAAAGAAACAGGAGTCAGGATGCTCAGAGTCACTGTGTTCAGAGACTGTGCTGCAGGACACTGTGCAGCCAAAGCAGTCCATAGGAAAAAGAGGTCTGTGCAGAACCAAC